AGAGTAGACTACAATGCCGGCTGTTCTGACTCACAGAGTGTAAGTTAATTTTTTATATATAAATAATTTGCCACTGACGATTCAAACGCGAGTTTTGAGCAGTGTAGAGTAGCGCTTGTTGTTTGTCATTTCTCCGATCACAAATGCAGACATGGTTTTATGTTTACGCGGCGCGATGCAACGCGTAAAAAGACAGTATAAGTCATTATAATCCTTAATTATGTCCCCACTGAATGCAACAAATGCCTAATTTATAATGGGTTTTAATGTTTTTGTCTCATCACTCCGGCCGGACAGGGCATTACAGTATGGTAGGGGCGTAACATTTCCGTCACACGCTTGAGGTATTCGGCCAATCACAACGTACTGGATAGCTGGCCAATCAGAGCACACCTCGCCTTTCAGACCGATGAGCTTTGTAAAAATCAACATGTTTCAGAAAGGCGGGGCATAGAGGAGAAACAATAATGTACAGTATGTGGAAAATAATAACCTTAAACCGCATAAACACAAATCATTACACCAAATACACAAAATAATGTTTTTTTAGCAACATCATATGACCCCTTTAAGTGTTTTTCACCAAAACTGGGAAATTATCTTTTTTTTTTTTTTTTTTTCTCCGCTTACCACATTTTTGCTTATACTGCCACTGGACTGAATTCACCCAACTGGATACGACACTTAAAGTAGTTAAATTATTAAGGATGAGGGTGAGTAAATGACAGAATACAAATTTTTGGGTAAACTCTTCCTTTAAAATGACCAAGTTTGGAAATACTGTCTTAGATCACTGGACACCTTTGAATCAATGATGTGACTAATGATCCAAATGTCACCATGCTTGATCTCCAGAAAATAATGGTGAGATTAGGAGCAGGGTAGAAAAATAATACAAAGCATTGAGGATTTTACCAGTTTTCCAGCTTCCTGTAAATTCACAGATTTATTCAACATCTTATTCAGGCCTAACCTTAAATGGGTTGGGAACATACAGTCAGCATGGGGTAAGCACATTCAGAAGTAATGTACCAGCACTAAACATCTATTTTAACAAATCACTAGTGGCTGTTTGCACTTTTCCTGCTCTTTGTAACATTTATTTTGACAAGTCACATACAAATACTAACTGAAATGGTGTGTGCTAGGTCAGACGACAGTTTGTCATCACAAAGATGACTATAGAGATCTCTTTGCTACAGTTCTGATTTTTAGCTTTTGATTTGTAGGCACTCCACAACCCTACACAGATGATTTCTGTCTTGGCATCATTTGGAACAGTATGTATTAGAATGGGGCAGGGTTGAGCTGGAACATCAAGGTGCAATTTTTATTTTGTGGATTGGTTCAGCCTGAGACAGGGGTGCTGCACTCATTTTGGAGACCAATGGATGGAGGTGCGTTGCCAGCCATTGTGTTGCTATAAGCCCTTCGGTTGAGCTGGATACCAGTAGTTCTTGAAGGCATAGAGGACTGTCCATTCTCTAGAGAGCTGTGTTTGCAATGAAACAGGATGAGGAAACACCTGTAAAACTGCACAAAATAATAAATTAGCACTCATATTTTCTGAGACTCAAAAGATGCAGAGCCAATTCAATTGTGTATGAAATTTCAATTTTGTGTGAAAGATTGCCTATAGCTTACTTTGAACTGCAGCACCTCAGTGCATTATGTATTCTTCTTTTAGAGTTATTATTTTTTTCTTTTTTTATGGCCAATTGAAGTGGGAGTATCTCAATGACATGTAAAAAATATTTTTAAATCTAGTTTAAAACACTTGTGCCAGGTTTTTAGCAATGTACTCGTCATATTCATGTTGATTTCACATGGTTTTGATTTTTTTTTTTAGCATTTTAAAAAGAAACCTTTTACTTCAATGACTCTTAAATGTGATGTAGTCATCAAGTAAAAAATATATATTTTCTTTACACTTTACAAGAAATACATGTCAGTGTACAATTAATTCTTATTTTCAAAAAGTCCTTTAAATATAATTTTACATGGATTATTAATTAATATCATGGATTATTGATTCATATATACAGTATCAATGATTAATTAGATGTTTGGAGTCACCACCTGACTCCTCATTTTTTAACCTAAACTAACCTTATCTCATAAAAGGTCAAATGATCTGACTTATTAACCTTGAGCAGCATTTTGATATAATTTCGCTTTTTATTATGTTTTTTTTTTCTTCTGTGTGTTGGTTGTAGCAACATTTAATATTATATTGTTATTTTATAGAAGATTAATATTAATTTTCTATAAAATAACAATATAATATTAAGCCAAACTGATTGAAGCCAAAGTCTTCTTTTCAACCATTTAAAAATTCATTTTAAATCAGAAATGAGAAACATGCCCATCTTTGAAGAGATACATTTAAGTCATTATATTTATAAATTGCTTTTTTAATGTATTTTTGATTAATTAATATATAAGACAAAAATAAGAGTCACGTCATTGACCCAGTAATTATCAACTGGAATGTTTTATGGACTTGTTTCTTCATTCTGATGAGATGTCCGATGTTATGTCACTTGTCAAGAAGCAAGGTGCAGAAATAGCTGTTTACATTCAAACCTTAGTGTGTGTCATGTGATCATCTTTTCACAGCTTCTGTAGTATGCCTAAAGAATGGCAATTAAATTCAAACCAATTCACACAAAAGTCCCCGTGACATGCCCTGAACTACAGTGAAAAACATGAGACACACACCCTGCTGGTTCTCAAATGATAGCTGCTGGGTTGGTGTTAGTCAGTACACTTGGATCACTTTGTTGCCTTGACAACCTATAGATGTGGACACTGAACAAACAATCTGTCTTAGGTGATTGGTTATCCTAAGGGGTGGATGCCTTATTGTTCTTCTCATGAGACTCGATGTCTGATTGGATTTGTCTCGGCCTATCCAGGCCCCTGATTGGCCTTCACATTGGCGTGTGACTATACTGCCAAGTATTTGATGCGTGTTTCCCCTGTGTGTGTGCATGTATGCAGTGAGACAACTCTCTGTCTGATCTTGGCAGGGTGCTGTCAGGCTGTGTGTGTGTTGCCAGCCTGCAGGCAGATAACAGAGTATTGATGTAAAACTAAAATACAAGGCTTCAGAGAGGTGACCAACAATAGAGCACAGTACACACAGCTGACAGAATGTGTGCAGTGTACTAATGTCTTATCAGATTTAAACAAGATCTTTGAGGAAATTGTTTCATTTACTCACCATCATGTCATTCCGAATCTGTAAGACTTACTTTCTTCTGTGAATGTACTGGTTCATTTTTTCCCTTTTTAGTGAAAAAAGGGAAAAAATTAACCAGTAAGACTTAAAAGCTCCAAACCCCAGTGAGTGACACTTGAATGGGGTTTGAAACTTTCATGTCTTACAAATGTATATATGATGTATGTATACACAACCAGATAAAAGTTTTGAATCATTAATATTTTTTTATTTCTATTAGGCATACCAAGGCTGCATTTATTTGAGTTAAAATACAATAACACAATAATATTGTGCAGTTTAAAATAACTGTTTTCTATGTGAATATATTTTAAAATCTAATTTATTCATGTGATGGAAAATCAGAAGTTTCAGCAGCCATTACTTCAGTCTCCAGTGTCACATAAGCAGTGTAATTTGCTGATTTGGTGCTCAATTATTATCCGTTATCATTGGTGCTCAATTATTAATAGTGACCCTTATTATTGTCAATGTTGAAAACAGCTTTTGCTGCTTAATATCTTAAAATAATAATTAATAGCGGAAAATATGATAATATTTTTTTTTTTACCAGATTATTTTTTTATTTCTATTAGGCATACCAAGGCTGCATTTATTTGAGTTAAAATACAATAACACAATAATATTGTGCAGTTTAAAATAACTGTTTTCTATGTGAATATATTTTAAAATCTAATTTATTCATGTGATGGAAAATCAGAAGTTTCAGCAGCCATTACTTCAGTCTCCAGTGTCACATAAGCAGTGTAATTTGCTGATTTGGTGCTCAATTATTATCCGTTATCATTGGTGCTCAATTATTAATAGTGACCCTTATTATTGTCAATGTTGAAAACAGCTTTTGCTGCTTAATATCTTTGCGGAAAATATGATAATAATTTTTTTTTTACCAGATTATTTGATAAATAGAAAGTTCAAAAGAACAGCATTTATTTGAAACAGAAATCTTTTGCAACATTATAAATGTCATTACTGCTAATTTTAATTTTTTGATTTAATGTGTCTATGCTGAATAAAAATGGTTTCCCCCTTACCCAAAACCTTTAAATGGTAGTGTATGATGGTTTCCACAAACATATTAAACAGCAAAAACTGTTTTCAACAATAATAAGAAATGTTTCTTAAGCAATACATTAGCATATTAGAGTGATTTCTAAACCATCATGTGACACTGAAGACTGGAGTAATGGCTGCTGAAAATTCAGCTTTGCTATCACAGGAATAATAATATTCAAATAGAAACCAGTTATTTAAAATTGCATTAAAATTTCACATTATTATTGGTTTTAAATTTATTTTTGATCAAATAAATGTAGCCTTGGTGAGTATAAGAGTTTTCTTTCAAAAACAATATTATAATTATTCCAAACTTTTGACTGGTAATGTACAGTACAATAGATTGTGTGAGAAGCAAACTGAAATGTAAATTGTTATTCACTGATAATCTTCCCATCTGGATGAACTCATGTTGGCTACTCTGTACAGTCATTATTAATTATATATATTGACAGATATATATTGACTATTTCTGTATATTGACTATATCTATGTGTGTATTTAACAGGTATAGTTGTGATGATGAACTTTTGTGAGGAGGTCCATGTGTACGAGTACATTCCTTCCATGAGACAAACTAATCTGTGCCATTACCATGAGATGTATTACGACGCGGCCTGCACATTTGGGGCATACCACCCTCTGCTTTACGAGAAACTGCTTGTCAAGCGAATGAGTACAGCTTCTGAGAAGGACCTCAAGAAAAAGGGAAAGGTCACACTGCCAGGATTCAGTAACATCAAGTGTCCACTGTGATTTACAGACTCAAACGTACAGTCGCATAAAAAGGTGTACTGGTCTTCAAAACTGTACGAGCCCTTCAAACTTAAACTAACAGACTTTTATCATCTAATAGGAGTTTTACCCATAGTTCTTGTAACAAACTGAGACAAGACATTATAATGAGGAGGGTAATTAACCAATTTCAAAAGTCTGATCATCTCAGATGGTCCTTATGCTGAAAGACATTGCAGCTAAGACTCGCAACAGAGTCAAAAATGGCCTAATGACCTTAAAATGACCAAAATTTTGAGATTACATATGCTGTGTACACAAAACATGGTTGTGATGCAGCACAAAATGAGTTTCAAAATAAATTCTCAATTTGAATGTTTAAATATGGTAAGCTACATTACGAAATGAGTCAAAATGGAAAGAGATTTCTCTTTTCTGTCTATCTGAGCTGTTCTCATAATATTTTGTGGTAATTTGTGATTAAATCTCTTGCTGTTGTCATTGGTTGAATGACACTTCAAAGCTGTTAATGTACTATAATGTAATATAAGCAGGGCCGTTTCTAGCCAATTTGATGCTCTAGGCGAAATCCCTATTGCCCCCCCTCCAAATTATATATATAAATAAAATTATTTTCAGATACCAGTTACTTATCACATTCAAATTGGTTGTCATAGTAACGACACTAATTTGTGGAGATTCAGTGCATTGAGTTCCACAAATCTGAATGCATTATTTGTAAATTGACTGTTAAGATAAACATTTTGCACAATTTAGTATCTGTAATATCATTGTGTTGCCACTAGATGCTTGTATAGCCCTATGTAACAATCCCTAGTGGCTAAGACATTGCACATAATTTACACATAAATCACACATAAATTAATTTTATTACATTTTGATTTGGATACTATATACTATACTACTACGTATTGTTTAGATATTATCAATGGCTACTATCTGTTTTTTGTTACATTTTTTTGTTGCTGTTTCTTGAAATATTGATTTAAAGTGTCAGTTATTGCATTATTATTTCAATCAAACCTATAAAACCCCTTTGTTACCCCAAACTACATTTAAAAGCTTTATCAGTGGCATAAAAGTAACCAATGCAGCTACTTAATAATTTGCACATGACACGCTGATCCTTTAACAATGCATTGGCACAAAAAATGCACACCTTTTGGACAAATCTGCCACAAATATTTGGACAAATGTGCCACAAATACTGCCTAAACAAAATACTGATTTTGTGCACTTTATTTAATGTACCAATATTTTAAATTGGCCTTTGAACTTAGCTTTATTGCATGGCAAAAAAAAAGTGTTACCTTGCCAAAGCACTGGCAGAGCCCACTGACCTAATGGCATTGTTGAGCGCTCCAAATGCAAACTTTGCATGCAACAATCAGGCAGAAATTGACAGCACTCTGATCTAGTGGCATACAGGCATCGTCAGATTGACAGTACTCTAGCCCAGTAATGTTGGGGGATCCAGTGGGGGCGGCAGTCATATTTCAGAGTGACCGTACCACTCTTTATCACAACCCTGCTAAAAGTGCCAGTACGTGCGCATATTTGGCGCCCCTTCAGCTGGTGGCGCCCTAGGCGACCGCCTAGCTCGCCTATGCCTAGAAACGGCCCTGACTATAAGTGTTAGATTTTAACTCTAGATAATTGATCAGTGTCATTTTTAAAGGTGTTTTATGAATAATTCATTTCATAATATAAATCTGTTTTGAATGTGAACTACTACTGACGAACCTCTCTGAGAAGAGCGTCTTGCTCAGAAAAGTTTAACACTGACTGTTGTGCATATTATTTCTATTAACCTTTTTATTTACTTCTTGCATTTTAGTAAAAAGTTTCATGCATTTCAAAAACCTGTAATATATTTTGACAGAAAATGGTGTCGCTGTACAAATACTTAACCTGCAGTTATTGTTTAAAGAACTCACATTTTGAAAGGAGTTTAGTATTATTTATCATTTCCTACAATCAATGTTGTACTCGGCATTGTTCCTTCTATACGCTGGTAATTTGTTTCATCATTGTGGATGTTGGATTAAGATTTGTGGAAGGAATGTAAATTTTTATGGAACCATGGTGTATAAATCAAATCCCATGAATTAATGCTAATTAAAAAGTTGGAATAGTCAAACCTGATTGTTCATAAGGATGTAAATAACAGGGTTGATGACTGTGCTGCTTTTGGCAAGGAGGGACGGCACCACGCTCGCAATGGGTGTGATGATCCCCGGACGTCCAAACGTGGCCATCATTGCAACAACCCCATAAGGCATCCAGCACAAAAGGTAGCACACCACTGTAGTGATGACCATAAATAAAATGTGGTACTCTCTCCGTCGTGCTGCTGTCTTCCTGACACGCCCTACCTGAGGAAAAACATATACATTGAATTGTATTTTTGTTTTGTTTGCACCAGCAGATGATTCAGACCTGGTCTTCAGTATACGCAAATCCCTCATGAAAGCATTTCTGATTATTTGTGTACATTTTCAACACAACAGGGACAGATTTCACAACACAAAACCGCTGCCTGCAGTACAGTTTGCAATCCTCTCTAGAACTAAACAATAACCCTGACTCAAGCTGAAACTAGGTCAATATCTCAGACTCCAGATAAAGTTTAAACCACCTCAAAACGCCGGTGAAATCTGGAGTCCACATTCTCTACTATGCTGAAAAATAAGATAAGTCAGCGCTATGATGCACTTTTTCGGAATAGGTCACAAAAAAGGATTATGTTCTTGATGGGACCTCATGAAAAATAGCCTCTTTTAGAAGTTTCCGAGAACTCATATACTCAAACTCTGTTTTTAGCTTCTAAAAAAGCATTGTGCATTTACAAAATAAAGAAGACCCTTTATGACATTTGTTTAAAGCTGTGCATTATATTTGGAATGCAATTTATTTGTTCCACAACATACACTTCACACATATGCAAAATTGCTGTGATTTTAGGACATCTTTAAAAATATCAATAAATTATATTCCTGAGCCTGATGAGTCAGTGGTTTCTCTAAACCAGATGGTAGGTTATTTCTATTGTGAATAACATTTACACTGAATTGAGGTGTTGTGACTGAATTTACCTGTTTGACAGCGCAGATGAGCCGTCCGTAACAATACACCATGACCAGCACGGGGATTCCCAAACAGAAAATGAACAAACAGATGATATAGGAATGTGACTGCGGGGTGTTAGCCGTCCATGTAACTGAACAACTGGTTCCTGCCCCTTCCAGTCCATAGCTACTCCAGCCCAGTAAGGGGGGGACCGTCCAGAACAGTGAGTAGAGCCAGGAGCCCCCGACAGCCAACAAGGGTTTGCTGTAGTCTGGGGCCCTCTTGTTGTAAACAGTTAAAGTACTGTAACGATCATACGAAAGGATTGCCAGAGAGATCAATGATACAATCCCTGTTAAAAAAATTAAAAGAGAAATAAGTCTGTATGTTCATGCTCACCGTTAAAGCCACTTGTATAATCAAAGACATCATGTCACAATTGTTATTTAAATGAATAGAAAAAAATGCAAATGAACCCGGGGATATTTCCTTAAGCTCCATGAGTGAGTTCTATATTTATAAACTCCAAGGTAAAGCTGTCCAGAGAAGCGCATGAGAAAATTTAAATACCATGTTTGTTTGTTAATTAATGTTTGCATTTGTACCATTATTATTGGTCTTAATTTAGCTCTTTGCTGTTTCAACATAGATTTCAACAGATAACACAAAGCCAGCTACACTAAATTATTAGAGCAAATTAATAATTATTATTCAGCACTGACTTTTCATTGTGCTATAAAAACAAATATTATGATATATGATCATATGCAAACAATAATAATATTTTGTATTAATAACATTTATTAATTCAGATATTTTCAAACATTTTGATGCCAAAAACCAAATTATGATGACACCCTAATGAGGGACCCCTTCTAAATGTATAAAGGCAACTATTTATTTTAATTCACTTTTCACAACAAGTGGTTTGTTGTTCCAAAACAGCTTTAAAGTTTTAGAGATAATATTAAAAAGTAAAAAAATATATAATAATAATTTCTTACATATTACAGTGATGAGGAGAAACATCCTAGAAAGATACAACAAACGACTAGATGTCAATGTTTTACAGAAAGATATTTACAAATAGTTACAGTACGATATTTACAAATAGGTTTTTTCTTTCTTCCTTTTTTTTTCTTTCTCTAAATTGAAACCTCAAAGCATCCGGAGAGGTGGAGTGGGGGGGGGGGGGGGGGGGGAGATACAATCTGTCCTACTATTTACATTAGTTCCCAAGAGAAGCACTCTTAATGTCAAAGTGATGTTATGATTTTCAAAACAATAATTATAAATGACTCCCAGGTTAATGGCTATTTCAAGAAACACAGCATAAAGTTGGAGAACTACCACAGCCATATTCTATTGCTATTACATATTATTGAAAGTTCCTTTAATTCACCAGCTATTCACCAGAATATGACAGGCTCATAGATTGTTCCTTTGTTTTCTCCCCCTTACGTATGCGAAGGCCTGTGTTAATAAAGATCTTTGTAAATCTGCTCATTTTTGAGTATGTTGACGGAATCTGAGGCTGTCGCATTTGTCACTGTGTATGCAAGAAACGGCACACAAGACTGGATCCAAACATATTTGCACTGCAGAAACACACAGCAGGGGATTACAGGGTAGTTTTCATATCTTGAGTGTGTTGTTTAGTAGAGTCAGACACTGCAGCGTACCTTCTGCTCGGCTCTGCTATAGTAATGAGGCACTTTTAATAAAAGTTGGCTATCTATGCAGTAGAAACATTTTTAAAAAAAGTTTTGCTGTGGCAAAAAAGGTAAGCAAACTTCAACACTCATAATCCACTGGGCTCATTCAGAATATGAGTGAGCAGGGTTACAAAAATGCAGAAGTATGATATGTAGTTTTCACAAAAGCCCAAAAGTCTGTCAAAAGGCCGCCAAATTACACATTTTGCGACTTTTGCTGACAAATGAAGATGGATATCTTGGTGCAGGTAACACAGAGTAATACATATTGTTAATTTACTTATATACTAACATTGTGGTTAAATATAAAGCTGGTTAAAATCAGTCAACTTACCTTTTAAATGCTTATTCTTGATACTTATTGTGGGTAAATACTATTGATTTTATATGTAATTTTGTGTGATTTTATATGTATTATATGTATTGTATAGATTTTATATGTAATTCTTTACAACTGTAAACTAAGTTTCTATTTTTGCTCTGTCATCAAAAATAGTTCCAAACCAAGTCAAAGCAGAATCAACCATTGCGTGTCTCCAAGCAACACACAGCAGTGATCTTCAATTCCTGAATGAATCTGTGTTTTTTGAGGGGTTAGAAAATTATTCAATAACTTGCTGATAGAGACTTACTTTATCACTTGTCGTCAACTACTGGTGTAATATAGTAACTGCAAAATCCCCACCACTACACTGACAGCTTACTATATTTGGAACATACAAACACAAAAAAGCGGAGTCATACAAACAGTGAAAAGTCCTAGTCCTATTGGACTAAATATCAACACTATTGGAATGCTGTTCGGCCAATCAGATTAAAAGGAAGGGACTTAATGTTGAATAATAACAAATGTTGAGAACAGAGATGAACTTATTAAACTCAGAAAATGTAAGCTCCAAGCATAAGTTCAATGTTTGTAAACTCAAGGGTAAAGCTTACCAGAGAAATACATGAGAAAATTTATAATAGCATTATTTTCTTAATGTTTATGTTCTCACTACTATTATTAGCCTTTCTTCAGCCCTTTGGGGGTTTTGACACGTACATACAGCTCACTAAAAGTCAGCTACAAAGAGATAATAGCATCATATTCAAAAGATACAATATAATGTATGGTCATGTCAGCATTCACATATCATTTCAAGCAGTAAGTAGGGGTTATAAACTTTGTAGAAACTCTGCAAAATAAGTCTGAGGACAGGATAACAAACATTGCACAGAGGACCTCATCTGACCACCATGTCCCCTTGAAAAAAGGTGCTTAATAGTAAATAAAGGCTAATCATATGTACCTGTTCATGCTATTTTAAATAATATTTCTTTCACAAGTTGGAAAGAGGCTCTAAAATGTCTTCTTGATTAGGACATGCTCATCATAGCTAGCAGCACATAGGGGGCTTTTTTTATTTCCAGACTAAAAAATGCTGTTGATGTTAGTCCGATTTAGATCATTGCTAAAACCACATGCATATTTCTGAAACAATGGAAAATATAAAAGATCTCTTGCTACTAATGCGCAAACATCTTGATTTACTATCCAATTAGTTTTGGTTTTGCCTTAGAGAGCGATGTCTAGCTGAAATCTTATAAAGTAATTCCACACCAATCGATGAGTCTGATTTTACACAACTGAGATGAAGACTTTTCTCATCTCTCCAAGCCATGCATGTGTTTGGTGTAGACCCCCCTCAACTTAGACTTTTTTTTTTCTCAGATTAACTGAACTAGCAGAAATATTTTACATTAGACATACAAAGCACTGGGGTGCTCAGATGAGACTTCATTTGCTGTAGGCCACCCACTTCAAGATTTGACATTCAAGGCAGTGTGTGGCTGTTACTGTCAGTTTCAGTTACTGTTGCTTTCCTGTCAGCTTGAACCTGTCAGAATTATCCTCTAATCTTGTGTTATTAACCATTTTTATTTTTATTTTTGCCACAGAGCTGCTGCTACCACTGGATGTTTTTTTTTATTTTTTGTTTGTCACACCATTCTTGAAAATCAGTGGCATGTGATGAACTAACCTGGTGGGCTATGATTGATTGGCCGAGAGTGCTAAGATATAGTATCTCTTTCTGCAGGTTACACTGATGCGCCACTAGGTTATTAGCATTATATTTAGCATTAACATTTTTCTTTTATTGGCATAAAAACAGCTGATATTCATTGATTAGTTTATACACATCTATATTATCTAAGAATGCTCCCTTTATAATCACTGCAGTTGTCAATTATTTTGGTTCAGCACAAGGTCTGCTCGTTTGCCAAAACTTGTATTATAATATTTGAAACCGTCTATGCTATATAATGAATCTTATATTTACATAGTAACTACACTTTGTTGGTTATGATGAGAGCATTTGTAAGAGTATGTGAGCTTGCGCTGAAAAAAAAAAACTCCGGCTATGCATTCATGCATTAAACATTGGCTACAATGCTCACTGCAAAAAAATAATATATATATATAATTATAAAACTTCTTATTAGCTATTACCAATGTTTATTCTTACACTCACAGGAATTACATTTCCTTCTGCTGTATATGAGTTTGTGAGTTTTTAGAATTAGTGTGTCCCACACTAAAAAAAAGTGCCTGAATATAAAACTTTATTCAGTTGCTTGCACTACATAGGACTTTATTTCAATTGTAAGGTTAGACAGATCAGCTCATTAAGTAGCAAACAACCAGCTGCTCCCTTCACAGGGGACAAAAATACTGTTTTTTGAATGAGTCTCTGAGTGATTAATAAACAGTGTCATCATAATTGGATGCTTTTTTATTCATCTACTCTACTGTATATTGCTTGGGTGTTCTTCTGTGTCCTTAAGAGCCTCCACAAGGAAAGTGTCAATACCATGGTGTGGGACAACGGGTCTTTGCAGGCCCGATGTCAGACAAAAAATGTGTTAACTCCAACCCCCCTATAAAATAAACTATAAAATAAACAAATATATACAGAAGCATATTATAATCACAACATTTCATTATTCCCCTTTAAAACACACAATGTACTCGTTGGCTTCCAGTTGATTTGTGCCAGTGCACCGCAACTCAGGTACTATATAGCCTATATAGTGCTATGCTGTTCTAACCAACAGGGACAGGTCACTTTGTTACATCACCTCCCCCCTCTCCAGGCCACGAACTGATTGGGTACCGAGACAGGTAGTCGGCTATCTTGTTCTGA